TGTAACGACGGAACCACCCCCTCCTCAATCAAAGTTAGATTTCACCACGTCGAGGCCTACGGATCCAAAGCGAGATGATTTCCCTACAAAATGAGCTATAAATGGTCACAATCGGATCATTATTTCAAAAGTTATACGCCACGACTCACCGAAAGCAGCTACCTCCGCAATCATGGATCAGCCAAGGCAGCGAAAACGCCCCTTTTTAAATTCGTTTATTAATTCCAGTCATGTTGACAGCACCTATGTAGGGCTAGATTCGATCGGCAGCGGCATTCCACGGGTTTAAAAAATTATTGCAACATCTACAAAATCATTTCCTCGACAGTAAGCAGGCATTTTCTCCAAAACCATCGGCAATCATACTCACTTGTCGGCCATCACATTAATCATTAGATGCATGTAATAGAAGTTCATATATGCTGCTGATTTCATACGATGCCTCGAAGAACACCCACTGCTGTTTCAGACGTTACTTATTCGATATAATATAATACCATATGAACAGAAAATTAATTTTGAAACGGAAGCTTCTGTAAAAACTACTTTGGTTTCAGGTTAAATCGGGATCTGGGATCTGATAGTAGCAATAATACTGACGAACAAATATTTAAACTTCCACACAATAATTCACGGCCCTCTAGATTTATGATACCGCATCTGACACAAGATGAAACTTGATTTTCACTGTATGGTAATAGAAATAATACATTTACATATGTACAAATATAAGGTCATTTAGAGCATACACAAATGGAAGTGAATCGGGTGGAATAGTTGTTTTAATATTCAGCAGAGCTGTTTAAATGCCTGCACATGGACAAGTTACGCGTTGTAACGGAGATCATATATTATGGTCTCTGGTTGTAACCGCACGAAGCTGTGGTAAAATGACTTGTTTCAACTGAGTGAGTTAGAAGAGGAGTTGAGTTGGCTGTTAAGCTGATTTTAGCAATATTCCAGCAATTACATGGCGAGAGACATCAGAAATGGGCTTCACACATTGTTGAGTGAGTGAGTTAGTTTAAAGGTAGTAGACTTGCAATTACATTATACAGCTGGGTTCTCCTTCATTCCGCACACGCAATGCAATTTGGATCAAGGTACCATATAATCTAAAGAACGTTCAACCCCGGATCAACTCAAGTACCTGTTGAGTATACACACATGGGAAGATGTCACACATGTTATTCAAATGAGTAAATTGTGTTTCCAAGCTCATTAACAAATGCCAAGACCCATTGTAAACTGACAAATTTGACCGCTTGTAACATGCGCTCAACCTCCGCCATGTTTTCACCAAGTTCAACCACTACCGGTCATCCCATCTGCATGCAATAAACTGATAAAAACAACAGATTAGATCACTCCAGCTATCATTGCTAATTAATCTTATCAGCCATGTATATTTTGTTTCTTCCCTAAGGACTATTGGCTTCCTGTTATCGTCACCCCATTATTTTCACCATCCGTTGTTGTTGTTAATCCCCTTGATTCATACCTACATGTTGTTATTACTTAATCCCTGTTGGTGTACATAGGTCCGTTCTGTGCTGTAGTACCTCACTCTTGCTTGACAACGATATAAGAATCCATACTGAAACGTCGCATCATATATAATGAAGAAGTTGTTTTTCATAAAGAATTTTACTTTCTTATTACTCACCAACTTCTAAAATGTCAATCAAACAGTTCACAAATTTGGTTGACACATGTCATCGTATCTCAATTGCATATATCCATGTTCATGCTCTTAAACATTGGATTGTCTTGCCCACACTCTATTATTTACAGACTGCCGCCATATAGCTCGAATATTGCTGAGTGCGGTGTAAAACTTAACTTACTCACTCATGTTCTGACAAGACCAGGGGACACAACTGCGTACGGCGTATTGCTTCACCCACGACGAGTCAGCCGCTTGTGTTCCCACACTGTACCAGACATAATGCGCAATAGCCTGTCTCTTACTGTATGACGCTCTGAATGTGTCAAAGAATACACTCCTTTTTCCTCATGCTTTGACAACTGTGACGTATGCATTAAGGGGTCTTCTCAAAAGAAATAAAGTTAATTTATGACTGCAGTACAGTTGGATGACATCAAACAATTCTATGACGTAGATTTTGTAGCGGGTGTGGGCGATATAGCTGGACTTGTTTACCCTTCTCAAACATGATGTCTTGTTGTAATACTGATTTTCAGTGACCCATTAGCATGGTTTCCAAACTCTTTGGTCTTTTATTTCCAACTGAATCCAATCAACCCCGGTGTTGACAATTCATGTGTGCTTTCAGCTCATAACAGAAATACGTCCAAACAATTAAACTCGATAGTTGTGTTCGTTTGATTTTTTATTCATTGATAACTTAAAAAATTTGTTCAATAATGTTTCTTTACAACCGGTTCAAACAAAGGCTTCATTCAGATGCAATTTTCAAAGTTTATGAGGCTTAGTTTTTAAGTGAGGCCAAGGTTCTCAACAGGAACGTACTCGCCTTCTTATCTGCCTCAATGAACTTTTGACAAGACCCCAAAGCAAACAACAGTAATAGCCTGTGTGTTCAGTCAGCCGTGTCCAAAGTTATGCCCATTGGTGTACTCGTCAGCTTTGTTCCCGGAAATCCGTCTACAGCTGTCAGGCCAATGAGGTGAGATGAGGTGAAATTGGGTTTAACGTCGCGCTGGACAATATTTCGCTCATATGACGACGTGCATGAATGTGTATGTGTAGGTGCGGCTGCCTGTACTAGCCCAGACTGAAGCTGGTTTTATAGTGCTAGCCCACTGAGGTACACGCAGTGAAGCATGAATACCCCACTCAGACACATTATACTGACTCCGAGCCGACCAGTCCTTGTTGTACCCATTAATGCCGAGCGCCAGGCAGGGACCAACAAGTACCACATTTTAACGTCTTTTGGAATGACGCAGTCGGGGATCGAACCCGCGACCTTCCGCTCTCCGGGCAGACGCTCTAACCACTACACCACGGAGGCGGTCGTCAGGCCAATGAACATTCTCTTGCTTCAATGACAATATTTTCTTGAAATTTGTTGTCAGAAGGAATGTGAACACAACGTTTTATACATTCTCAATGTGTAGACATTGCTCTTTGAATGTACATTCAGATTTTCACTTTTAAACAAAACCAAAAAAAAAGTACTTCGGAAAATGAAGACAACAGGAAAAAGGTCGGATATAATTCACAAATATTATAATGATGACTTGCATGTTCATACGGACGGTAAAAATATACATTTTGAAGATATAATCATTTAAAAAAATGTGCAGTATTACTACCAGATTAGTGATTTCTAAAATAGTCCAGACTGACTGAGTTTGGTTTTACGCCGCCTTTAGCAATATTCCAGCAACATTACAGCGGGGACACCAGAAATGGGCTTCACACATTGTACCCATGTGGGGGATTCGAACCCGGGTCTTCAGCGTGACGAGCCAACGCTTTAACCACTAGGCTACCCCACCGCCACTAAAATAGTCCAGAATCAACAGCATAGTGTACCAAGTTCGAAATGTAAAGTTACATTTAAGAATATTTACAATGCTGGTAGTCACGAATGCAATTGGAATATTGTACGCATTACAATAATACTGCACAGTATAGTGATGACGTACCACAATAATACTGTCAGAGTTCTGAGGTATTTCAACATTCCTGCAACGCGTGCGCTGTATTAAATACTGTAATTAATACTGTAAGTAATGTAGGGTATTGCTATGCTGTCTGTCTGTAGGGGCGGTGGCGTAGCCTTGTGGTTAAGGCGTCCGCTCGTCACACCGAAGACCCAGGTTTGATTCCCCACAAGGGTACAATGTGCGAAGCCCATTTCTAATGTCCCCTGACGTGAAATTTGCTGTTATAATGCTAAATGCGGCATAAAACCATACTTACTCACCCACTGTCTGTCTGTTTGCCTGTCTCTCTCTTTGTTTGTATGTCATTGGCGGTAAACCATCCGCAGGTGGTGACGTATTGCAGAAATACTGCAACGGTTGTGACATACTGGAACCATACAGAGACTGGTTACAGACCGTCACCATACAGCTGGAACTAGGCGTTTGCACGTATTCATGTGACCACCATCTGGTCATTTACCAACGGATTTGTGGGTTCTTTTAAGTGCACATGGTTGTGTACTGTACACTAGGGGTTGTGACAACACTGAAAGAGTCTGCACACAAACTAGACTCCAAGGTTTCTTACGCGCGGTCACGTGTGGGCTCGATCCCGGCACCTCCCAGCTCTCTTGGTCACCAGCCTGGCGCCTTAGACAGCTCGCCCAACACGCCCCCATCACTGCACAAAGGGTTGTGACGTATACCACAATATAACGACGGTTGTGACGTCTCAAACAATTATGTAACAATGGTTGTGACCTTTACACCAACATAGCAATATTAAAGTTGTGACGTTTTCAACATTGTTACAGCAAAGTTCAAGACGTACACCAAAAATACAGCATCACTGTTGATGTAATAAAAGTATTGCCGATGACGTAGACCAGTTACGCAGCAACAGATTCCCCCCATGGGTACAATGAGTGAATCCTATTTCCGCCCCGTGATATAATTGATAAAAGCGGCGTATAACTATACTTACTGAGTTTGGTTTTACGCCGCTTTTAGCAATATTCCAGCAACATCACGGCGGGGAACTAACTACACGGAAACATCTACGACGTGCGGTAATGCAGTAATGATGGCAATGTATTATAATTGTTCAAAGCAGTGTTAAACGATAACCATAAAAAACAAACAACATTATAATTTTATTAATAAACAGGGGCGGTGGGGTAGCGTAGTGGTTAAAGCGTTCGTTCGTCACGCCGAAGACCCGGGTTCGATTCCCCACATGGGTACAATATGTGAAGCCCATTTCTGGTGTCCCCCGCCGTGATATAGCTGGAATATTGCCAAAAGCGGCGTAAAACTAAACTCACTCACTCAGACCCTATTAATAAACAAAAACACAAATCTTTTGACAACCAAAATTTATTCATCATAATCGAGATGAAAAAGACTCACAACAATAACAGTATTTGCAGCTAGTATGGCGTAAACATTTGATAACGTTACAAAAATAAATGTACAAGAGATCAAGTGCGTGGGACGAAACAAAGACTCGGATCGAAGATGCCAGTTGGATGATGGTCAGGCGAAAGTGAACTTAGAAAAAACGAACTACAAATCTAACAAAAGAAGTTGGGCAGACAAATAACACGTGATACTCGGCTCCTATACTATCACCGAAATGATAAAGCATGTGAAATCATTCTTCCAGATATTACTGTTCCAATCGCGCAGATCTGTCCTCATTACCTTTCAAAACGTCCACAGCATAAGGATCACTCCAGCCACAGAATCCATTCTGTCTGCTAGACCCGCTGCATGTACATGAACGAATAGGATCGATAGGATAAATAGGATCAATGGGACCAATAGGATCAATAGGACGAATAGGATCAACAGGGTGTCTAACTCTAAAATCATCCAAGGGATCCACATTAATTGCTTTCTGTAACGCCGCCTGTCTGCGACCGCGCCATAGATTGTTGCGACAATACCGATAGCGACTTCTTCTGCCGGACGAACAGCTACTCCATGGTCCCCAGCTGGACCAAGTGCGAGTGCGACTCTGAGAGCTCTGACCAGTGCAGCCGCAGGTCTTGCATGAGCGTTTCCTACTCTGTTGTCCGGAGATGCATGCTCCCCACCACGTCCAGGACCCCCAGGTGGCTGTTGAGGGCTCATTCCAGAAACTGAGGTTAATTTCAGGCAGACCGTTGCACTGGACCCTGGAAATTGGTTAAAGTAATTACATTAATACTCACTGACAATAAGTGTAGATGGAATTAGTGTGATTTGTGGCAAACAAACCGCAAGTGAACATTAAGTGCTGTAGAATACTCACGGAGTTCCCTTGATGTAAGCGTTCCTCTGGATCTTGTAGGTGTCGGTATTGTCACACACAACCCGGGACAGACTCACTTTCCGTATCTCATTCAGCTGGTCTGATAAAAAGTAACACAATTGCACACATTAAAAATGATATAATGAAATATAATCCATGGCTTAAGGGATTTTTTTTTTTGTGAAAGACATATGTTTCGGCCACTGCTCATAAGATTCGTCCCCAAGAATATTTGATGACAAACATATTTGTAACAAAACCTTTGGTGGGTACAGGTCATCAAACAGCCCTGACAGTTATTTTTCTGTAAAACCTAAAATATTTTGAAAAACCTTGACTTGATCGTAAACAATGTGCCCTTTCACATCTTCTTCAACTAACTTATATCTGACACGTATCGAACTTTAATCTAACCTATAATCGTATACTTGCACTGTTTTAAATATTGTTTAATTCAAAGCACTGGCATATTATTTTTTTTCAAGATCGTGGTTGAATTGTTTACTTACTTGACGTAAATTTGACATAAGCATTGTCCTCTTCAAACCAGAATCGGTCTCCTGTCTTCAGTGCCTGGAACTGTTTCCCAAGGAGACAGGTAAATGTGGGACCCAGAAGTCCCCTTGGAACAGGTGTCTCCGACAAAGCCCCAGGAAACAGGTCGATGTCGTCAACGTGTCTGTAATGAGACATGTAACTGTTTATCGGTGTGATTTCGTGAACCAGAAATGGGGATAATACATTCTGCCCATTGTTCCATTCGAACCTGAGCCTTAGACGTGACAAGCGAACGCTCTTACCATAAGGCTACCCCGCAGTCCAGAGAAACTCTAGGTATTATTCTGTAGTGCAGATTGCGACTGATCTGACGATGACCTGGCGCTCATAATTAAAAAGCGGTCGTTTTCCTTATTCCATTTGTATTACAATTAAGGGAAGCAGCTGAAAATAGGTACAGCAAAATACACACGTTTACATGAACTTTACAACCTAATATAATCGACAGTTTTCATCTGAAAAGGGAGCGAACTCACTTGTACACTTTCTTCAGAAGGTTTGCTGCAGTTGTTGTGTGAGTAGTGGAGGCAAGATCAAAGAAGGATGCCGCTGTTGGAACGTCACAGAACTTCCTCCACTCGGTGTAAGACGGGAGTCCGTGGTCTCTTCCTCTCTGGATGTTGAGAGCTGCCAGGTCCAGACTGTTGCCTTTACTGTCGACAAACAACCTGTCCGTAACCTCCTGTGTCAGTTTGTGATCTGTGTTCTGAACACTGTCCTTAACCAGTCCTCTACAGTAATGACCAACCGTCCTGTTGTTGACGTTCAGAATGAGATTCGTCTTACCGAAGATCTTGCTGAGTTGGTCCTGGCCGAGATAACTAAATGAAGAGCTGTAGCTGGCAAAGTGGCTGTGGATCATGGAGTGTCCCATCCTGAAAGCCGCAGTAGCGAAGGCGTTCCTGATGCTTGCGTCCGTCGTTGTGCTGTAGACATTGGTGTAGGTTCTCCCAGATCCAGTTGGCAAGCCATACTTGATCATAGCTTGCTGACCCATGATGATAGGCAAGTATTCATCGTACGTAATTTTCTGAAATCCCGAGTATATTAAGCTTTATTAAAGACAAACGCACAAATCATCACGACCTGTCTCTCAAGTGATGCAAATTGTAGAACCTAACCATTTTCTTCAGCAACACTATGGTCCAAACAGACCAAACAATCTCACAATAAAGAGAAATTTGACACCCATCTTTACAGAGCGACAATCGTCAAAAAATACTTACTTGGTCATCTTTAAAATAGATAGTGTAAACAGTAAAGAAGATGGCCTTGGAGGTTTGATAAATGCAAAATATCAAGATATATCCAGCATCAGAACCTGTACAATAGCGCCGACTATCCTCCGGGCTTCCTGGAAGAGTTTCTCATCGTTCCAGTGGCAGTTGAGGGCATTTAGTTTTGCAACGATTCGGTTGTGTTCCCTTGCGAAGATGGTGTGCAAGCTTTGAAGAGTTGGATTTTCATTCACTCGATGATCGCCTTTCAAATATAGAAAATAACATCTTTCTTAGGATTTAAAACAATGTTGTTTCTGGCATGTTGGTGTATTTGTATTTTCTGAAAAGCTGATTTGTCCGCTACTGGAACGTCCTTTTTGCAATCATTGATCATGAAAACAATGAGATGCAGAATATTTGTCGGAAATGTCATACATTTAAATTCTATTTTTTCTATTTTCAGGGTTCTGCGACTGAATGTAGCATAACGTTCTAATAAGGTGCAACATGACGAAAATCTTTGTTAGTAGCATATGAGGACAAAAACATCGTTTGGATGTTGTTTAACGCCGCACTCAGCAATATTCCGGCTATGTGGCGGCGGTCTGTAAATAATCGATCTACGCATTTGGGATACGATGACATGAGTCAACCAAGTCAACGATCCTGGCTACCCGATCCCGTTAGTCGCCTCCTACCACAAACATGGGTTGCTGAAGACCAATTCTAACACGAACCTTCACGGGTTGATCACGTTGAATGCACGATATACTAGAAGCACGAAACTGTTACATATTCACCGCCTAATATATTGACGGACATTCAGAAGTTGGAGGAATAAAGAAGGATAGGATATATGATTTCCATAATTACAATAGGAGCGACATTTCGGTGTTGGTCCAAACTCGTTATCAAGCACGTGATACACTTGAAGGCAATGCTTGCTTAGAAACCTCGCTTCTATTGTAATAAAGTAGTTGTTCATTCAGATATGTTATCCTTCCTCATCCCCAATGTAAAAGCGCTCTTCCTACCTGCTAGGAAACAGTAGCTGGGACTGTTTGGTGTGGTACAGCTACGTTTTGAATCGCTAGGCAAGTGTGTAGATTTCATCTTCAGTTGACCTGAGAAAAAGGGACATTCAAATGTAACAATAACGTCCTTAACATCGGATTGGTCATGGACAGCATGTTTGTGATTCTGTTACCAACCTATAACTGTTTATTTTTATGTTTTTCCGTAAAGTGAAGTTCTGCTTCTATGGCTTATAAAGTAAAACAAATCACGTCTGACTGAAAATGATCATTTTTGTTTCACGATACTTGGCTAGTTCACTCACTGTTGACGCTTTGATAAGGTTGCCTCATGTCACATCATGTGACATTTCTTAAATAGTAAAGGTTACATCATCCCTTGATTAAAGGATTTTAATCTTTTTGTCCAGACGAAAACTTCACGCCATTTTCACGTCGAAGAAATATTTTACTATTTGATATATATACTATTCACACTTAGCTAAGGATCAAACCATTGATTCAACAGAAAACTATAATGTGGGGTCTAATTTGGTTTAAATATCTAAGCTTATTGTAATCATAGATCCTAGGTTTCAGTATGTCACTGCATCTTTTGGACCCCATACCTGCTATTCACAGGTGTTGTGTACTTGTCAGTGACTCGTTCCATGATTTGCAAAATGGTTGATTGGTGCCATAAAACCATGTTTATGGTTACTCATGTATCAAGTGCATAATGTTGGAATAAAGTGGCTGTTTGCGTAAAGAGGGGTTTCAATATCATTATTTATCTAGTTTTAAATGGATACAATTTCAAATTATAAATCTATGTTTAAGTAAAGGTGGGAATTTTTGTGATCCTTATCAAAGTGTGACTAGTAAATTATACACAATATCGTATACTCAACCTGAATTGACATCTAATTTTGGCACTATTAATCTCTCTCTATTTCACCTACTTTGCAGGTTTTTTTTATTTACGCTCATATTATCAAGATAGGCTTGACTGTGGAATATGTAATAACTGATCTGTATCATAGAGATATATTGATTTATTTTACTCTTCTTCTGAACTGACTATTCGTATGTTTCCCTACCGCCAACAAATGTCCGCAGTTTGTTTTGTTCCGCCTGTGACGATCCGTACATCTGTGAGGCGTCTACGTAGGCGGTGATCTGGTTAAGTTGTTCCACAGGTGCTGGAACAAGTAGATATTGACATTAAAACATCGAGTATGTGTTACTGTATCGCACACCTGGCATGGAGGCCATGTTGTATAAGGCGCCATGATTCACAGTGAAGAGTTACATGTGTGACAAGGTATGACGCATTCCTGCACCAGGAATAACCCACTAAAGAGGACTAGTGAGTGGGTGAATTTAGTTTTACGCCGCACTCAGCAATATTCCAGCTATATGGTGGCGGTCTGTAAATAATCGAGTCTGGACCAGACAGTCCAGTGATCAACATCATGAGCATCGATCTGCGCAATTGGGAACCGATGACATGTGTCAACCAAGTCAGCGAGCCTGAAAACCAGATCCCGATATTCGCCTCTTACGACAAGCATGGGTTGCTGAAGATCAATATTCTAACCCGGACCTTCACGGGTAACTAAAGGGGAATAGGTGTTACAAGACCTTCCATAATGCTGTCCTCAAAATGAATTTTTTGGGGTTTTGTTTGTTTGTTGTTTAACGTCTTGCAAGGAAATAATCCGTTTACATGACGACGGTCTTTAAACACCCGAGCATGACCACCCGATCTTCGCGCGTTTTTAATAAAAGTACAATGGTCATAAACTACTTCTATAATAACTTTCTTAACATGTCTTGACAGATCGCCTATCATAAAGATAGCCAAATGAGATTCGAACTCATGATGAGCTGCTACAAGCAGAGCAACTCTACTTAGACGGCTGTGTCATCCGCCAAATAATACTGCTTTCATGACTTATATAGTGTTATGAGATTATCCAAATGTGTGTCATTGATGATGTTACCTGATTGTTAGTGCCATTGATGATATTACCTGCTTGTGATTACATTCCTGTGTGTGTCACTGATAATATTACCTGCTTGTGTGTGTCATTGATGATATTACCTGCTTGGATGTGTCACTGATGACATTCCTGTTGTGTGTGTCACTGATAATATTACCTGCTTGTATGTCAATGATGATATTACCTGCTTGTGTCACTGATTACATAACCTACTTGTGTGTCATTGATGACATTATTTGCTTGTGTGTGTCGATGATGATATTACCTGCATGTGTATGCCATTGATTATATTACCTGCTTGGCAATCAGCGTTCGCTACTTGGACCGACCTCACGAAGTTCATACAGGTGGTTCTGAAGTGTCTGTCGGGTTGAGGGATGTCGATGGGAAAGCACTGGGGCCTGAGAGAACAAATACTGATCGTTAGAACATAACACGGGGTCAACGTGAGGAGTGTCGACATTTTAAAGATTAGTGAATCGTAGTATTAACATCTCTTGAAAAGTAAATAATATCTCTATTTATAGGGATCGCTACTCAAAGCATAGACAGTTACTATGGACTTTTGTTTCAACAACAGTGCACAGCTTGTCAAAACATACCCTGTCGAGAAATTCCATGTCCGGGCAACCAGATGCTAGCTCAGATCAATCATGCCATAAGCAATTATATTATCTGAAGCAGTCATTAATCCTGAAGGTTCAATGTGTTCAAAGAAAAGTAACCGAAGACTATTAATGATTTATGCAATACATATAAGTATATCATTTGCTAACCTGTTGATAGGAGTTATTGGAAGTCTTCTTCCAAATTCAAATGACCCTCCTTTCGGAAAACCAGAAGCACAGCACCCAACAGAACTCCCGTAAGGACCTGAAACAAGATGGGTTATTCTATTTATAGCACATACTCAAGATATACTAGTAGTCGGAATCGTACATTGTGCCTTTTTACTTTAAAATTATTCAGGATGCAATTCGACCATTTACTACTTCATTTATTGAGTTTTTTTGATAATCCCGGTAGTCCTCCGAATAACACAGACGTAATTAATGTATTTTGGTGAACATTAGTTTCAGAATGCAATTGGACCATATATTACGTCAGTTATTGACTGTTTTTTGGTAATCGTGGTAGTCCTCGGAATGGCGGGGGAACAATAACATACATAGAAGGTGTATAAACCATTGTCACCCGATCGGTGCATCCTTTAGTCCGAGGTATTACGAAGAAACGAGTTCTGAGTGACAATCTTGAGTTATTCCCCAAGATGGCTTTCTTTTGGAAAATACCCACAACATAAGGTACAAACAGTAAGGACACATTATTTAAAAAATCCCTTCAAATTCTTTATCAAATTGTGTACATGTTAATGCTGTTTTATCATTTGGAAATGAAAACAACAAAAACGAAATAAGATTTAAATATATTATTTGTCCGAAATCAATAACTTTTACCTGCAGACAGTTGTTGAGTGGGTGTGCTGGTGATGTCGTGATCCAAGAACTGACCCCACTGCATCAACATGTGGGTGTAGGAGGCGTGGCGGTCAGCGTTTGTTGAAGGGGGTGTGGACAGTCGTGCTGACCAGGCGGGCACTGGGGAGCTTCGAAGACGACCCTTGGGTGGCTCTTTCTCGCGGGGTAGAGATGCCTAAAACAAATCAAGATTACTGAAACCGACATAATCAAGAAAATGCTATGTCCAGGCACATCCCAAATATTTATTCTGCAAATTTACATGTTGGATACATGTGAAATCATCTCCATAAGATTTCCTTATTCCCAAAAGGTATCACAGTAAAACTTGTAACACGACATAAATATCTTTCATAATTATCATCTCTCGCATATTTGGGACGGTGGGGTAGCCTAGTGGTTAAATCGTTCATCAAAGTACGCCTAAAGATCTCAGTTCGATTCCGCTCATCTGTACAATGTGTGAAGCCACATCCGGCGTCCCCCCGACGTGCTGTTCTAGGTTATTGCTTTAAAATGCACAACACAATACGTGCGAGACTACTGGGATACCGGTGACCCAATAAACTGTAGAATAACATCGTTCTGAAGACAATAATCTCTGCATATTCACCATCATCATATGCTGGGAACAACCATCGTCTCATTGGAATGGATGCCATGCCCCAAGTTGTGTGCGCGAGGTTGTTGCAGGAACCATCAGCTGTTCGGTACTTGGAGGACGTGCTACACTTTCGACTGGAAGCGCAGTTGAGCTTTGGACCGAAACCACTTTTCAGCACCGAGGGAATATCCTCCCGTGATACCTTCGCCCTGCATTAGCAAACCATGTTACCATTCATTAATAACTTGAACACAAATCTGCTTTGAACAAAATTCTAAATCTATCACTTTGGTGAAACGAGTAAAATAGTTCTGACAATATGAGGATCATAATTATGGTTAATGTGGGTTCGAAATCAGGATTCGCGGTCAGTGGATCCTGTGAAAACATCAAGCAATACAATTCTCCACCAGTCTTTACATCAAAAGTGTTCATAAGTGTCAATAGATATACATGAATTGTGCTTATATTGAAAGTGGGTAATAATATTTATTGAAAGCATAAAGATTTAATTGATAGTGTCGATTTCATGGTTCTGTTGAAATACGTGTATGATAATTTGATAAGTGATGGCAAGAAAAACGTAGATTATCAAGAAAACGTGGGTTATCGAGAAAAACTTAGGTTAAATGAGAAATATTAGGTTACACGAGAAATACATAAAAAACCACGAATCTTTGCAACTCATTTTATCCACATGCTTACACAAGCTTTATAATATTAACACATGAGTATAATTAAAAAAATTTAATTTGGCTTATTATTATAATACACACGTAGTCTTCAGTCAAATCATCAGTCACATGCAAGTTTCATGATGATACAGATAGTTATGCATAACATACTTTTCTTGAAGTAGAGCTATTTTAGAGCACAGAGCACGAAAGGATGAGACAAGCGCTTTTCTTATGTAAAGTGTTTTGTCTTTATTTACACACAAGGTGCAGTCTCGCCGAATATCTTCAGTATACATGTCTTTATAACCGATCCTTGAATAAATAACGTGATTCAGTTCACCTAAAGTGTAGCAGATAAACGTGCTTGGTTACTAAGGGTTACGAAGAACAGCGGTACATATATACAAAAGTATTTAACATAAAACAGACATAAGTATTGACAAGCAAACAGTCATTTTGTTAGGCTGAGGCACATTCGGGATTCGAACCCAAACCCTCAGAGTTAGGCACCTAATCGCCAGCACACAAACGCAGCCGCCTAACCCGCTCAGGCACTTCGGCTTCCACTTGTGAGTGTGAGTTCGAATCCCGAATGTGACCTAACAAAAGTAGTAGAATATGTCCTTTACTGAGAAAGTGTAATCCCAAATATAACATACACTACTCACACTTTGCTAAGGATCACAAAAATTCACAACTTTACTTAAACGTAGATTCATTATTTTGAAATTGTATCCATTTAAAACTGGATAAATAATAATATGGTAACCCCTCATTAGGCAAACAGTCACTTTAATCTAATCTTATGCACTTGATACATGCGTAACCATGAAAATGGTTTTCATGGCACCAATCAACCATTTTGCAAATCATGGAACGAGTCAATGACAAATAAACAACACATGTCAATAGCAGATATGGGATTCACAAGATGCAATGACATACTGAAACCTAGGATCCATGCATGAAATAAGCTTACTAGGTATTTAAACCAATTTTGACCCCACATAATAGTTTTCTTTAGAATCCATGATTTGATCCTTAACAAAGTGTGAATAGTTTATGTTACATTTGACCACTTTCTAAATAGCATTGCTTATTCAAACCTTTAAACATTTGATCTTAATATACATATGACCAACATGATACCCAATGTGGCAGCATTAGGCCATCGTACTTTAAAGCAGCATACACAGTAATGACAACATTGTTGTTTCTGATTGATTATACAAGCGTCTTATCTTACATCTGAATTAGACTATCCTAACTTCATTAGAGGATAATACTACATGGTATTTAACATCATAGTAATTCTAAAGAATGCTTACGCCTTCAGCAACTCTGTAACTTGGAGGACATTGAGACGATGGTCGTTTCCCTTCTCAATGCTCTCAGGTGCTGTGAATGTGAACTTGTTGAGTTGATCCGTTGTAGAACCAGGTTCTGATGCAGCTTGGTCTGTGAGGAGGAACGGTCATAATTGCTAACTAATAACGAATAAATAATACTAGTATGTCATGTTATTTGGAAGATCCAGTGAAACACTTTCAGGTTTTTCGGAAAATTATTTAAAAATCCATAAATAATAAAACCTTATACGCAACCCATAATTTTTTAATCAGACATTTTGTTTATCGATTTTGCTGTAGATGTGTTTTTAGACATGTTAGGTTTTCTCCAATTAAAATTATATCCATGTATATAATGATTGAATGAGTAAGTGAATATTGCTTAACGCCGCAACTGCAGTTTTGCAGCTTTTCACGATATTAATGTAATATATTAATCAACAGTTATCATGACACGAATGTCTCAAACGTTTACAGCGAGAATAACCTTACAATGAAATAAATAAAGGTTAAAACACACAATGTGTAATCAAGAAATTGTACTGATCTAATAATTATACATTTGTATTTAGAACAAAGACACAGATGACTTATTATGAGTATTAACAAAATCACAGACCCCGACCCAAAGCAGCTACATTAACTACACTTATTACGAACTGACAGATATAACGAATTTGGGTTATTTTATGTCAAGGCCACAAGCTGTATATTTTAGTCGAAATCCGTATAACGAACCACGGTTATACGAACTAAAACTGATGGTTCTAGAATTTGGATTGAAAAAAAGTCCGTTATAACCGTAGCTGATTGTAAGTGGAGTTGAAATGGTGATGAGAAAAGTCATGTGATTTTGAAAGATGAGAAGACAACGCCATCCTATAAGCATAATCTCACCTAACGCTTGAAAGGCACTTTCTCGTCCCAGTTCTGCCTGAAGCTGAATTTGTGCCTGAGAAACTGCAGTTAGCTGTTGGGGTCTATTAAGGCCAATACTGGCCGTGTTGATGTTGCTGATACTTGCTTCGTTTATGTTGCTGATACTTGCTTCGTTGAAGATGCTGATTCTCTCAGCGTTGGCGTCGAAGGAGGGAGCTTGCAACGCTGCATCAGCGTTGGCTACCATCAGCAGCAGCATCAGCTGCGAACAAAGCCCTGTCGGCTTCAGCATTGTGGTTCTACGAACTGTAACGAAAAGAACGTTTACACTTAGAGCATTGCTTGTTTGTTGTTTAACGGCGCACTCAGCAATATTCAAGCTATATTGCGGCGGTCTGTAAATAATCGAGTCTGAACCATACAATCCTGTGGTCACGCTTGAAGTATATAATACGATACTTTGCTCTCCTAGCTATAGTACAATTACGTTTAGTTTACATTTAATTGCGTAAACCATGTATAATAGAGAAGTGGTTTAAAAATGGACAAGTTCGCAGTTCAATATTTAAAGTCGAACAATGTTATAAAAATTAAAATGTCAATGAAACATATATGCAAAGAAACTGAAAGAAGATTTGAAAGGCAAATGCCGGGGGCGATGGGGTAGCCTAGTGGTTAAAGCGTTCGCCCGTCACGCCAAAGACCCATGTTCGATTCCTCACATGGTTACAATGTGTGAAGCCCATTCCAGGTGTCCCTGTCGTGACATATTGCTAAAAGTGGCGTAAAACCTAACTCACTCATTTACTTATAGAAACTGTGTTTGAAGTTTGTTTTAAGTGAGTGAGTGAGTTTAGTTTTACGTCGCAGTCAGCAATATTCCAGCTATATGGCGGCGGTCTGTAAATATCGAGTCTGGACCAGTCTATGGGCTTCACATATTGTACCCATGTGGGGAATCGAACCCGGGTCTTAAGCGTGACGAGCGGACGCTTTAACCACTGGGCTACCCCACCGCCCCTGGTCGTAAGAGACTAGCATATAGATGGGTCTAGGATAAGCGAAGTAATTGCTAACGTGTCATCGTGACCTCATGCATGTTGCTTATAATATCAACCACTGAACTGTAAGGTCCAGATTCGGTCATTAATAGTCCAGTTCCATAGCTAGGGCATAAAACAAAAACACGACGAATCTTAACCAGTTAGATAACAACTGTTGTAATATGTGCTTTCCTATATCGGACTTGCTATCACACACTTTGAAGTCTACATGACTGACAGATATGCTGTCACAAAATTACCGATTATCTTAAATCCCAATATCATGTTAAAAGACAAGTATATTAAGCATCAACATGAAAATAATCAGTTACATTAAAATATACAATAGATTATTGTATAATAACTCTAATTAACTCCTCAGTAAAACTTACCTCAGAGATATCAACTTGTGAAAACTTACCTCAGAGATATCAACTTGTGAAAACTTACCTCAGAGATATCAACTTGTGAAAACTTACCTCAGAGATATCAATTTGTGAACCTGCTGTTTCGGGTGGTAGTTTTCTTTATTGGCGTTTCCCTTGCGTCAAGAGAATTTATATCACTGTAACCGCCCATCAAATAGCCGATCCTCCCTGTTGTCAACACATCCGCGTCTGTGGACAAATCAGCGGCCACTACACACAAAGGGTTGCATGCTGCACAGGTAGAGAAAGTAGGTCACATGATGTAGGGAACAGGGAGATACCTGGTACAATTATGTCTAAACGGAATAGGCCTTAGGAGAAATGTCTTCATTTAAACTAATTTGGTGACATGTTTGTACGTGTGTTTACCGACCTTGAAAGGAAGTAAAACGTCACATGACGTTGTGCCCATCCCTTGGACAACATGGAGAATGGTTATAGCCCAGATGCTGTCGACGCTAGATCATCACATCATAATATCAACAACACAATAGTATATCAGCAAACAAAATGCAATTAATTCTTTCATTTTGTACCATATATCCCCGTGTTTGTTTGAGATTTGTTAACTTGGTGTTACATGTACTGTAGCGTGATATGATACACTCAGTTTTGACCGTAATTCACTTAATGCATGCTTATGATAAGTCGCAAAACTGGTATTTGTTATTAAGGAAGGGGTTTTGCCGCTTACATATTCCCGTATGCTACACATTAATATTCGTGTTTGTTTTGTTACATATAAATCTATATATAGTTTTTTACACAATTTAATTTATGAAACAATATGAAA